TGTGAGTAAACCTTTACCTTTCCTGTGGAGTTTTCCCACTTTGACCCCGATCTGTGAACAATCCCGGACGTTTTTGTTTTTTTTTACTCTTAAGAACCTTTACTCCAGCAGCTGCTGCTGTCTGTGCCTGACCGGGATCAAAACAACTCAGATCCTCACACATTAGATCAGTGTTTTTAAACCACCGGGCCGTAGAAAATCATCCTATTTCACCTAATTGGTCTAAAAAGATTTTTTGATAAGGAATTAATTATTCTGCAAATAATATTCCATTTTTGAGTGTCTATGCTGTAGTAGTGACTGGTGGGGTAATCATGTAATAATTCCTTATGACTAGATTTTGTATATAATTTTGTATATTGAAGTGGACATGTTAAGAGCAATTTGAAAGAAGAAATATAAAATATGATAAAAATACATTTTTGTGTTTATTTGATTCCTATTCAAGACACTTAAGATAAGACTTAGACTTAGACTTCTTTTATTGTCATTGTACAAAAAACACAAGGTGAATCTTGACAACGAGATGTCGATTACTTGATAAGATAAGAATAACTACAGTATAGTGTTACTATCGGCGGCTACAGATTTGTTTGACATTTTTGGTTGGTGGTGTGCCTCGTGATTATTTCAATGAAAAAATGTACCTTGGCTCAAAAAAGGTTGAAAAACACTGCATTAGGAAAAGCCTGGCAGCTATTTTACCTCTGGGCACACGTCTGTGGTCAGGAAATGTGGATTTAGGGGTCGACCTAACTCACGTTGGCTCATGCCCAGTCCTCTATTTTTCCTTCAGCCTTCGGATGACTTTTGTGTATCAGCCGGGGTGTTTTTGGCCCGTTTTGTGTTGCGATCCGTAGCCCCAGGCGTGAGGTTGTGTGTAGGTATGTGTTATGTAACGAATTGGCTTCGCACGCTTCAATCCATAGTAGTAGCTCACAATTATTTACGATGTTTTATTAAACTTTTTCAGAATCAGCAGAAAGTCTTTGCTATATCAGAATAATTCCCCCACTCCCAAATTTGGCAAAATCTCTCAGTGTGATATATCCGGGTAGATAAAACCCCACAGCAACTTTTCTTATCCTTTTCTTATCCTCTAATTGTTATTACTTAACCCTATAAATGCAATATGTATCATATTAGAGACTCTTATTTTCTTTACTGTTTTGCATCAGGTGCACAGATAGACCTGATAACAGCGTAAAGAGGATTGAACAATGATTTAAACTTGTTACATAGTAATAAATGATTAATATTCAAAAGTTATTTCTGTTTATTTTATTTCATATTGTGTTAAAGCAGCAAACACATGAAAAAATCTAATTTTTTTTCTTGGATCAGGCTTTAAATCAGGCTGTTTTCCATTAAAAGTAGTCAGATGACACTCCTCT